ACTTTGCGGCCCACGCCACGTGGCGGCCTCGGTTTAACTGCCGCTGGTGTCACCAAGGAGGTTCGTGCTCATGGCGAAGATTAGTCATGGATACGAAGGTGCAGCTCGATTCCTTGAACTCTCGCGCAACGCGGGAGCGCTATCGACTAACTTCCGGACCTGGGTTCCCCCAACAATGCTTACATTGAGCGACGCCGCACCAGGACGCCCACGCGGACTCGATGAATCCGAGGTCTGAAAAATCCGTGCCTTTGGGGCTTCCGCGACCGAGCTATCATGAACGTTGCGCGAAAGGAGCGGTGAATTCCACTTCCCCCGGTTCTTTTTCTTTTTCCTTCTGGTTTTTGTCGATATTCGGTCAGGCAGCACGTCGCTTGCCCCCCCCTCTGTCGAGCATAATTTTTTGAAAGTCGAACAGAACCTGTCGTTTTGAAATAACCCCTTTTCCTTCCCTGGTCTCTCTCTTTTGCCGTTGATGACGGCCCAAATTCAAGACCCGCCTCGGTACGCAACAAGAATCCCCAGTTTCTCCTGGGCGATTCAACCTCACCATCCAAAAATCTGCGGCCACACCCCCATTTACTTTGATCGGCGTTCGCGGGTACGGAACGACACGTGGGGTGTGAGGTTGCGCATCACAAGTGTGAGTCAAGCCTAAGTGGAAGGAGGCCGGACTCACGAAAATTTAAGAGTCAAGAGTAGTGGAGTGAGACCCTTTGCCCAAAGCTATGCTTGCGTAACACAAACAAAAACACATCGCATCTCCTGTCATTGTAGTGGACCAGTGGGGAGATGAGATGGCTTGTGACAGCCCCAAGGACAGTCTCCTCCAAGGGGCATCATTCATGAAACTTTTTTAATCCTAATCAGATCGCAAGTCAAGCCCGACAGTGGTGTGACCCAGACCTGTCTAGACCTTTACCTACACCAACCTGCGCCTTTCGAGGGTCTCATACGAGTCCCCCTCAGGCACCTCACAAGGGACACCCCGAATTCTCGAGGTCGACCCGAACACAGGAGGGGTCACAGATATGTGGTCATTCCCCACCTGCATCATATCTAGCAGACTCTATGGGTGTTTTACCACCCTTCTACTATCAATGCGACAACCCACCCTCCCCTGCCTAAGATGAGACCCCTACCCAGAGACCCTTCCCCAGATTAACGCCCCAATTGACCCCCCTCAATGGGAGCGCAGACAGGTACCAGCCCGGATGAAGCCCAGCCTTCAAGCATTGTAAGAAAAACATGAGGCCCACCCTTGGGAATCGTATATGCCTAACACCCACCCCCTACCACTACTCAAGGTTTGTAAGGAGCGGATCGAGACTGAGACCAGAATCGTACAATGTAAGTATGGACTCTCGCCAGTGTACCATGAGGTCGGAAAACACCATGGTACCCAATCACACTCATGACACACCCACAGACCAGTGCATAAGAACGAGGCGGCGCACACAGTCAGGCCCACAATCTTTATACAAATTCCTACCTAACCTAATCTAGACCTAGGACCTCTTCCCTGCCTAATTCCTCTCCCCCGCCCATGATGAGTACATAGAGCACTGCAATGGCAGATCATACACAGATGCCTGCCAACTCCGGACTGGCTGACATCAAAAACAGACTTAGAAGCAAAAGGGCTGCTCTCGCCGCTGTGCATGTACTGCGCCAACTCTACACCACGGCAAAGAGCTACCTTGGAGCACTGTCTACTAGACTGTCCGATGGTGTCTCAAGTCTGGTGCTGGTGGGACGCAGCCTGGCACTTCTTTACGGGGAAACACCTACCATGGGAAGTTCGTACCCTTCCGCTGGGAGGTCCCCCCGAGGGAGCAGCGAACTGGACACCTTTTATGACAAACCTATTCACATACTCCAGACTAACGGTGTTCATGGCGGCCTGGAGAATGCGATGTGCGTACGAAAGAAAACAACACGACTTTGGCTTCATGCAAGCTCGGGCAATAATCATAGATTCTATCACTGCTAACACCCAGGACGCCTGGAGACAGATGCAATCCCAGCTACCGAACGAACCAGATGAGGCTAGAACACGCCGCATAGTGGATGAATTCGAAGCCACCTGGACGGATGGCTATGGGAGACTGTGGACCCTTGACAATGCCCACTCTTTGAAGTGGCAGCCTTGACTGTCAACAGAGAGGCAGTGGGAAAGGCTGTCGAGGCACCATTTCCAGGTGGTTCACCAACCTACAAACTTTGTTCTCATCCGATCAGAAGACTCTGCCCAAACACCCCGCCCGCCGATCTCCCCCCATCCCTCTCCCCCCCCCCCCCCCCCCCCCCCCCCCCCCCCCAGTCTTCCCCTCATCCCCGGCCCCGCTCCCTCTGTCTCCGCTACATTGACCGCCCTTCTCGATTGCCGGCCAGGGATGTTCGAGAGCAGGCCGAATAAGCAGAGCGGAAGGAGAGACAGGCACAGTCTGCATACAAAATTTCAAATACAGGACCCCAGCCCTGGTATACCTAGGGGAGACAAAGGCTCGGGCAGCATTTGCATTTTCAGATTCGTTTTCAAATTCGTGTACATTATCATCATCGACACTCACATATCACTGTTCTGGGACGCTGCACCCAGTTTCCAGCAGGTGCAGCTCCCCACCAATAGATGGAGCCTCCCCGAGAGTGCTAGGGGTGTCTGCTTTTACCAGCACCCCTAGCAGTCGACTGGGCTGTTTCAAAAAAAAAAAAAAAAAAAAAAAAGAGTACACGAGACATGACCCAGCGATGATTAGACCACACACAACACACAACCTCCCCCCCCGCCCCCGCCCCACACACACTCGTCGGACCACCCCAAGGCTAACCACTCAAACAGCCCCCCCCCCAGGGCCTGCTACCAGCATACCACAACCATCATGATGGACTAACCCCTTGGGTGGTGCGCTGTCACGAACCACTTTCTGTAACGCGCGATTTTCTGCGCGGTTGCAACGAGGGGTCCTAAGCTGGGAAGATTGGGCCACTTCCGGGAAATCGGGATCGGTGAAAAATTGCATTAGTACCCTTCCTTCTTCGTCTTTTTCGTCGCTTCTTCGGGGCTGGGTGTGTCCGGGGACGGCCGGTTGGGAGATTGGTCGGATGGATGTCTGGCGCGCCACCACGCGCGCGATTAATAAATGTTGACGTCGCTTCTTTCGTTTCGGGTTCGATCTTTTGGGTGCGGACTTTGCGCGGGAAATTGCTTCGTTCTTTTGAATTTTCTTTTGAATCTTTTTCGAATTTTGTCGAGCCCCGATGACTCTCGGAATTTTGGACCTTCTTTCTGGAATGAATGCTTTTTGCTTTTCCGCAATAGATAGGAATTTAGGAATTCAGTAATTAGGACTTTTTTCTGTCGTGCTGCGCCTTTTGTCTACGCGCTTTTTCATGCGGCTGCAACGGTACTCTGATTAGTGGGCGCCCTTAATCGTGTGTGTAACTGCAATTTTGGGCGGGCGCCATTGTAACTATATCTTTCTTCTTGCACTTCGTTACTCCCGCTCTCCCTCTCTTTCTTTTGCTGTGAGCCGAGGCTTACATGCTCGGATCGATGCGTGGAGAAGGGTTACGCCCCCCACGTCGCGGCCGATCATGCAGAACGCAGGCGCTCCCTCCCTAATCCCCAC